GCACGTGACATGTCACGTGCACCAATTGCCAGAGAGATCTTGGGTCAAGTTTGGTACAACATTGTTTAAACTTTTTTATGACTGGGCTTCACACATATTGCAATGTGCCCCCTCCTAGTACTAATAAACTCCTTGGATAGCCCACTCTCAAGATGTTCAGGACTTGCAATACGCCGAAACGTGTCGCTGTCCTTTTTGTTAACTCCTGTGCCTGCATCTGCAAATAAACTGGCAAAATCAAAACTAACTGGATTTTCGTCCCCCAAAATAGAAGCACGGTGTCTAGCAGTTTATTATTTTGAAATTCCCTGACTTTTCCTGACAATTTCAGGCGAAACTCCCTGACCACTTAAATATATAAAACAATTTGGTTAAATATACAAGACAATTACAACACAAGAAATTGAGCACTGCGAGGATAATTTTCTGCAGGCTTGATCCAAATTGCATATTCCGAAATATTCGGGTTTGTCCCGGTTTTCCCGGTCACTAGATACCCCGAGAAGTGTTGCTCACAGTATGATTATTAAGAGGACTGCTTTCATGATTTGTGCCAAACGGAAGTTCAGTTTCGGTTAGAACATGGTCAACATAGCCGGGGAAACTCCTGACATATACTTCAATTTTAAATAGAACATGCAAATTGTCTTCAGTGTCCTTTTATGACTGTGTTCATGTGCTCAGATTTCACCAATTTAGCAAGCTTGTCTTAGTGCAGATTTTCATTAATCTTGACTCCAACTTCTTATGTATAGCAGTTATCAAAACATGCACTGCACCACAATTTTCTGTCTGGTGGTTTGATTGTGCAACACGAACCAGACCCGTATATGGGGAGAATCTGGCCAGTGGGTGTGGCGACGAAGGTGCTGGAGAGGAGAAAAGTGAAAGAAGGGGAGGAGAGTGACGAAGGAGCGAGAGAGAAAGAAGGGAGCAAAGAAAAGACTACCGCCGTTTTGATGCGACGCTGTCGGCGCGCCAAGCACTGTTGAGGCTACAAGTTGTCTACTACGAGCTTATTTCTTTTTCGCCTGAATAAAAGTTTGCGTCTAAACATAGAGAAACTTTATTCGTTAGCTCTTTAAGCCGCTGAGGAATAACACTATATCATTTTCTTGCCAGAGCCTGCCAAATCAAAAGAGAAAACCGAAATTTTGATGTCAATCTCATTCATTCTGCCGGACGAATGAATGAAAATGGTGGCCCTCCCCGCGCAGCTGGGAGCAGCCGGGAGTTCATGCGCATGCGCTCATTCCTCTCGCTCTGCGCCGCAGGCTGACTGGCTCACTTGGGAGGGGGGCGTTATGGCGGCGAGATCATAAACTGGCCAAATTCTCCCCATATACAGCTCTGGTATGAACTTACCGAGCTCGACTGAGTCTGTAGTTGTAGGCCCTCCTCTCATCAGCAAGACCTTTCGCCGGATATGGGCGGAGAAAGTCGGTGTGAAGCTGAAACGCCTCGTCGCCCACAAATGCGTAGGGTGCCAGGCGTGGCTTTTGACACCCTGGGAGCACTCCCAGCTTCGGCAGGTTGAGTGTGCCTTGATCTAGGCCCTGACCAATCTCGGAGGCCTTGAAAATGCCGCCATCACTTTGTCGTCCCTCTGCACCGACGTCAATAAGCACAAACTTGTACTTGCTGTCTACCACAGCCATCAGGACTATGGAGTAGGTGCCCTGAAACAAAAGTAGGGCAACTTAGTTCATCAAAGCATTCACTGTAAGGACAACATCACAGAGTTCCATATTCTTAGTTTGCAACACCTTCAGGCTAGACAAGCCTTTAGACTGCCCCGTCTTAAATTAAACTTAATGTGATACTTTACCAGCTATGAGCTTCCCATAAAATATTTCAACGACTCGATTTGAGGTGAAATTCCACTGTGCAGAGAAACTATGCTAAATACCATCCGTTTTGAAGAGTACTTGAAATAACAGACTTAAATTGCCGGCCACAGCACTCAGCAAATGTCACTGTGTAAATTAATAGCCTCCTGATGGTGCTAGTTTCGGTTTGAGGTTGGTACTTTTCTACAACACCTACGGCGTCAGTACCAGTCTGCACTCGGTGCATTCGGCAAGTTCGTTCGGGGCCTGTTCTCCGTGCAGCACTCCACGGGTGCAATGCATTAGAACTCTCATAGTGCAAGTCTGGATCGCGGATCGGGCGCCCGTCACTGGCCTCACCGCGGCTATTGCTTGACAACAGGCAATACGCCGCGTCCTGCCTAGTTCTCCCTTCGGTTTCGTCCTTGTTGTTTTGGCGTATTACACCATGAGGCAATACACGCAAGTCTAGGGGAGAAACACGCAAAAATAGGAAGCTTGTATGCAGTGTTCAAGGGCGAGTATTTTATGACGTGCTGCGACGATTATATCAGGTGCTTAAAGCTCAAATAGACATTCGTCAAACTTTCGAACATTGATTAAAAAAAATGGCCCGGAGGACCACCGATTTTACCGACGTCGCTTGCTTCGGTTGCTAAATAAATGGCGCGTTCAGCGACTGAACGGCACGCTCCGAGTTTCAGTTTGTCACGGAAGCCCTCGCAGCAGTTCAAAGAAAAAGCTTTCACCATGAATTACTATGACAAGCGGTTAAAACGATGCGATGCGAATGTCCCCAGTAAAGGCCTTCTAACTTATCATTTGCTGAGCTCTGATGACTCCGAGATCACGTATGACTCCACAATAACTCTCGGTAGCCCTTGTCTCATTAAACACATCACAGTTAACGCCCAACAATGTCGCCCTCCACCCTCAACCACACAACATTTATTTAAACAAGATTGGTATCCTAACGCATTTAATATTCTTGCCCACAATATTAACTGTTATTTGGGGAAGTACGATAGAAGTTTCATTATTGAGAACAACCTACTAACGTAATAAAATTGAGTTTTCCCGTTTCTCCTATAGCATGCATTAGCTCATGTCAAGCAATGACTGCCGGTGGTGCCGCTCGACCCTAGCAATACAGGCCTATATCCGCGATCCAGCCTACTAAGAGATCAGTGGTGGCAGTGCTATTAGACATAAATCGTTTATTTGCATTGGTACACCCATACCTGCCGGATGTCGGGACGAGGCGCAAAACCGTACATCCGGCCAGTATTGAAGCCGGTTTTCGGCTGAAATTGCCTCGACACTCGCCAAGAAGCAACGCGCTTCTTTGGCGACTCGTTTGCGTAATTTATTTGTTCAGTCATTTTATTGTGTCCCGGGCCACTGTGTACACCCCAAAAAAGAAATGTACTGTGGTAATTACACCTTGACCAGAAGCAGGCACGTGGCCAGGATTTTGCTTCAGGGGGAGGGGGGGGGGGGGGTGGGGGCGGCCATGACAAAGTGCTCTATGAGGGGGAGGGGGGAGAGGAGGCCTCAGCAAATGGAAGATTTCGGGGGGGGCCTTATGGTTCCTCCCCGCCCTGGCTACGTGCCTGACAAGAAGGGGTATTGTAGTTTTACATCTTAAAAAGGTGTAGTGCATTATCACACGTTTTAAGGAACGTGTTTAAAAAATTATGAGTTTTTAAAGGTGTGAGGTTTACATTTTTTTTATAAGGTCTATTGATACACTTATTAGAGGGTTATTTGGGTTATTTATGGGACACCCCACTTACATGTATAAAGGTGTCAAAATGTTGAATGTGTATATACCTCTAACTGAAGAAAATCTCTTCATGTGATTACATTGCGTGCCGATGAAACGATCTGTCAATGACACCTCGTTCGATGAACTGATTTGACCGCCAATGAGCAACGACTGCCAGTAGAATTTCCGGGGAATAATTCTGCCGGCTGCCGGGAGACTCGACCCTACCCTAGAATTACCCCGGCTCTTGTTTGTTTTCCAACATTCTGAATTGTCAACCAGCTTATTAGCACCTCTTCGGATATTACAGAAAAAAGCGATGGCAGCCGCAAGAACTCTGACAGCCCGGCTCACAGTCATGTGGGAGACTGACAGGTGCTCGTCAGTCGCCACCATGCCTTGAAAGCTACCGGTTCCGAAGAACCGGAGCGCGCAGAGAACTTGTGGTTCCACGGTCATGGTAGACGCGATTGTCGGCCGCCTCGAAGTCCGGGCGCTGAACGAAGCTCGTCGCAGAGTCAACGCACTATGGCTTTCGATAGCCGGTACTGTGGCCGAAAGTCGTCGTCGGAAAGTTGAAAGGCGTCCCCGGTGGTCTCGGTAGCGACGCCGACGATGGCGGAAGATAAGCTCAGCCGCAGCGTACGGCACCGCCATGTTGACAAACTTCGCCTCGATCCGAAGCGAAGATCTCGAGCTCAAACCACGGCTCTCGCAAAGTTCGGAAACGTCACTTTGACGTCAGCGACAACTTCGACAAACGAGGTTTTTTTTTGAACACAAACTTTGGAGGGATTTGGAGCGTCAGCCGGTCGCCAAGGGACAATCTGCAAAGCATTAATTTTAGCTTGGTGTAGGGATGTAGGGACAAACGGGCGCTACGTCATCGGCGAAGCCGTTCAATCAGCGGGCCCCTCGCGCCCCTCACGCGCGACTCGATGAACTTCGCTACATTCTGCCTCTCTCAAAGAAATGAGCATTCGAATGATTGACACCTTGCTCGGCGTGACGTCAGCGTCGCGCGAGTCCAATTAGCGCGTTCCGCAAACTTTGGGCACAAAGTTGTGCTTGACGAGATTAGCGACCCTGGTTTGTGATCTTTAGGGGGAAGCTTTAAACTTAACATTATCCTTGTTTGGTTCACTGTCTCGCCAGGCAATTTATATCATCCTTCAGGATAGTGACGATAGTCTTCCTTATTTTTTCAATGTTACCCACGCATTCAAGAAAGAGTGAGTTGAGAGGTTCCACAGACTTCTCAAGAACTGATGCTGGAATGTTACCCTTCTTCAAAAATGACGCTCAGCTGTAACCCCCCTGTGTCTTTTTCTCACACTTCATAGTTTGTCTTTTCCTTACCACTTTCTCTAATTTGTACAACATGATTTATTTAGACATCTTGTTCATGTGATACACACCTTGTAATTGTAGAAAACGCTGCCAGAGTCCTTGGGACAGGTGATTGCGACGTGCTTGCCATCGACAGCTCCTAGGCAGTTGGGGAACTGCCACCTCCGCCTGAACCCCTCCGCGATCTCCACCCACTCAGCCTCAGTAGGAGGCTAGAAAGAGAAGCCATTAGTGGAGCCTAACATGCCCTATGAAGTGTGACAAGTGGCCATACAAAAATGCGAAGGTTCCCACAGCCAAGATCAAAAAGAGCGATTGTTGACATATTCCAATAAAGGCTGGAGTAGAGAAACATGTTGGAAGAGGGTATGTGATAAAGAAGAAGCATGCTTCACACAATAAAGGTCACTAAATTTTAAACAGGGATAAAAGCAAGTTACAAGGACAAAATCAAGTTGCGAAACATTCTTGTTTAATGTGTTTTCGGCACTTCATTTTATCATGGAATGTAGCAACCCAATCTATCGATTCTTATGAAAGTATGCTTGCTGAAATGAAGTGCTTACATTCTGGGGAAAATTAAGCACCTAGAAAGACGTCTCATCCTGTTCATGTCCATTTTGTTCCTTTCTTTCACATGGAGAGAGGGCTTAAAGTCCCCCTCCAGTCTGGGGGGAGGTGGGGGGGGGGGGGGGGGTCTCTCCTAGCTCGAGCACAGGTACAGGCTGTTCATGTCACTTAAGCCCAGCCCCGCCCAGCGGTTCGCTAGCTCTTTTAGACAGCCGGCCCGGCCCGATGCTAATTTTCACGTACCCGCTGAGGCCCGCTGTATTTTCGCCCAGTATGTATAGCTCACAAGTTGCGCGGCATGGCAGCTTGCTTGCCACTGTTGCACATGTTGACTACGGTGCTTCATAGTCACTAAAGCAAGCATCTTTATTTCTTTTTTTTCTGCTATTATTCCTTGGATTAATAAATCTGTGGGCATAAACAGCTCATTAAAAAATCCCTTCTATCGTTTTGTGAGAAAGCACACATATTGAAAATGACTAAAAAATAAAAATGGCAAGCAACAGTAAACAGAACCATGTGCCAAAGTTGCAAAGGAAGGGAAACGTCATGACAGGTTCGGACAAAAGACGGGCAAAGTTCTAAATTGCCTACTCTCGTTGTGTAAAGCAATCGAAAAAGAAAAGAAAAAAAACTACCGCCGTCTCTTGCAGTGGTTTCTGAGAAACTGTTTAGCAAAAGCACCCTTGAGACGAACCTCTTCATCCATATTGTGGATGCACGCACTTGTATGTACAGATGATGTACGCCTGCGAGGGTATGCAATGTCTAGGCGCTTGCTTATCTGTGCATGTTAATAGAAGAGCGACTACGATAGCGGCGCCGCAGGCAACGAAAATGAACGCCGTGGCGCTGGTGCTCTGGCAGAACATTCGGTGCACAAACACACATGCTTTCAGCATTTGTACCTCCCCAACTGTAGTCCCTCCCGCAACCCCCCAAACAAACTTTGAAACACAATGCTGCTAAAAAAAAGTTAAAAAGTAACGCTTTTTTGGGGGGAGGGGGGGTGGGGGCTCTATTTGTTCTTTTTCGAAAACATTAAACCGACACATCTACAGCTATGTATTCTTACAATTTACCAGGACTCTGTTCCTCAAGCACAGGACTAAGACAGAGTAACCTCGGGTACAACGGGAGGGTCTCCTACCCCCTGCCGAAATTGGAGGAGGAGGTCCCGCACTCGAAGCACTGATGCAGATATGACGTACTAAGGTTTTTCTCGAGGCTATTGTCGGATCTCTCACCAAGTATCCTTTCCGACTGAGTAATTGTGGTAACAATAATGTATGAATTGCAACTTTCTCAAAGTTTTGTTCGTGTTAGCATGGTTGCGATCTGTAGTAGATTTGTTAGTTTTCTTTGTAGGTTGATAAACCCACCTGTTTGCATTTTTATAAATGACTACAAATTTTTATCAATAGAGTTACATTGCTGACTTTTTTCGCTTCAAGCATAACCATGTTTTAATTTTTTCCTGTTTACAAAGTAATCTGAAACATATCACATCAAGTTAGTAGAACATACCTTCATGAATGGTTGGTGCAGCCCCTCCCACAGGGCCCGGCACGTGACATGGACTGCCTGTCGCGCTGTTTCCAGCCCAACCCTGTATAGCAGGGCCACGTCCTTGATCTGTTGGCCAGATGATAGGTAGCTGCAATAGAACAGAATGAAATACAGAGTGCAACCTTTGCTCACTTCATTGATGCATCTTACTTCACACGACCAGTCTACGCAAGTTTGGCTGACTGTTTGTAACCTTCGTCGCTAGCTGTCGTTCGTTGGAAGGGCTATGTGATGGGAATGGGAATTTTTCATTGCCATATTTTTCACACATTACGCGCAGGCAGACTCAAAGAAATGGCTATCACCCTAGACGGGAATATCTGACCCACATGTAATCAATAGAGGCAGCTTCTGAAAATACGATACCTCAGGGCAATCGCAAGGCGTTCTTCCGATGGAAGCGGCTCACGAATGAAGAACTGCCGTGTCAGGTCCTCCTTCACCATGTCGTGCAGTTCATCAAAAGTCGGAGGAGTCATGCGGTAAAACCTCACAAAGAAGTCGACGTCGCCGTCTCTCATACGTTTCATCTGAAGTGAAGAAATCACAAAGTGTTATGCATGCGAATGCACATAAGTCACGTGAGAGGAGCTTACCGCAGTATGGTAAAGTCCTTCTTCTCTTCGCTTCTCGAAGATTGGGCGAACCCACCATTTACGCTCTACTCGTGCTCTTTTCTTAACTAGCAGCTGCAAGAGCACGAGCCTCTTGCGCAAAAGAAGCACGTCCAGCTCGCGCTCCATTTTGTCCGCGTCACAGAGCTTTGTTAAAAGTAATATATTATTCCGAGAGACAAAGGTAATAAATTGACACTATCGGCAATAACAGCAGCAACGCAACTTCTGATCTGTAGCGGCCAGCGTTTTGGCGCGGGAGATGGTGATGCCAATGGCATACCTAAAGGTGGATGAGGCGTACGGACTAAAAAGGATGAAAATAAGAAATATTGAGCTTAATTAGAATTGCTGTAATAAAAATGGTGCTTAATATTAATGAAATTAAATATTACGGCATGCATCTATTATTTAACGCGCGAGTCCTATTTCAGCTTTGCTTTTGTTTCTCAAGCGCGTCTGGCTACGTTGGGCGGACGCTTCGGAAACGCAGACGCGAAGCGCTGCCCGGTAGCGCCGCGTGTGGTTTGACTGGGCGCACGCGTCGGGCTTAGCGCGCGCGCCAAGCTGAGACGCACGTCTAGACGCACTGGAAAACGCACCATGTGGGCTAGCCTTAATGCCGCATTCTGAAGCGGCTGAGATAGCACAGCAGCTAGCATGCGCGGCTCTCACACAGCAGCACCGGGTTCAAATCTCAGCCGTGGAAGCACATTTTATTCTTTGTTTTATTCCTCTGTTAACACTTGGTACCACTCGTTTAACGCGGCCGGACGCCGGATTTTTTGCCTCCATGGACCCCCCCATATAATGCTTTCGCATTAAAAAGGCACATTAAGTCAGGATTGTGCCTTTCGTGTGGTAGAGTCGCACGGCTGCCCACCACTTTGAAAATCAATACTGAAATACGAGGGGGCGCTAGTGATCACCGAATCAGGTTCACGCCATTCATAGGTGAAGGATCCTTTTGGGTGCACTGAAGATTTGTGTGGCAGTTTCTTTCGTTGATTCATTGGCGCATCTCGCCGTTGATCGCAGTCCTGCACCTCGTTAGATCTAACGGGCAGGATAGACAGTTCGGCAGACTCGACGTCTGAATCTTCCGTGTGTAGTTTAGCGTTGTCCTTATGCTGCTTCAAGTAGGAATGCATGTGAACAGTGCGCGAAACATATGCCTCTTGCCCACGCTTCTATATTCATTGCGGGTCGCGGCGAAATAGCCAAGTGATGTGCGGCCATTTGTGTCCTAATAAGTTTGTAAGACACTTTGGATAATGTCGTAATATTCCGTTGTAATTCACACAAAATTTGCGACAATTTTGTTTTGTTAATACGGATTTCTTCTCTTGTTTTTGTCATACGCAATTTTTTATCGCAAGTTTGCTTTTTGAATTCGGCCTCTGATGTCTCGATCCTCCATATAATTCGAACTTAGTGTATCGCATCGATTATGAAACAGGGGCGGATCCAGACCTCCGTTTTGGGGTGGGCGGAACATTTTTAAGGATACTATTCTCCCATTCTTTCTTGTCAAGTTGCCCACCGTGCCATCTCATTAGGAATATTCCGACTCGTCAGAATATACCTAATGAGATGGCACGTCAAAACCTCAAGTACAACGCGGTAGAAAAAAAACATTTGATTTTCAACAAAGACTCAAAGCAGTGTATCTAGACTTTCAAATAAAATCTATTAGAAATTCTTATGAGGTGGCACGGCAAAACCTTAATCGAAACGCGGTGGCCAATAGTTTTCGTAAACTCCTTACGGATTAGTTACAAAACTCATTTGCATTTCCATTGAGACTCCAAAAGATACGATGAGTAGACTCCATAAACTTTCAAATGAAATACATTAAAAAATTTTGTAAGGGGTCTTTGGAACTGCTGGACAGTGAGGTGGCGTTTTTGGATTTGGGATAGCATCATGTCACTATTTATCGCGTTTAACACGTGCCATCACGCTGCTATGAATTGTTTCGTGATACGCAGACGTGGGTGTACCGCCAAAGATGAATGGTCGTTTTCATCTGTTTGCCTATTAAAATATTTCAGTTGATAGTCAGCGCTCGTGCCGTGTGTTTCTTCTTCGCCCTCGTCTGTTTTTCGCGCTGTTTCCTACAACGAAACCCGGTTTTTTTGACCCGCAATAGTTAACTATACGCACCACAGAAAGCTAACACTCAGTGTAAATATGACGCTAGTTGTCGTTATAGACTGCGAAATTGAGATAGCATGACGATACCTGTATTAAAAAAATAAAACAGATAACATTTTGGTTTTTTATGAACCGACGTCTAGCTAGGCATGATATTGGTAAAAACCAAAAAAATGACGTTGTGGACGCCTGTGGCATTTGTTTAAGTAAAATAGAACCTGATCATAAAAAAAAAAACCTATTCTTTATTTTATTACTGAAATATATGCAGCAGGCCGCGGCAGTGTCAATTCTTGGTTTGACTATTATTATTCCTATAGAGAGTATTCACTGGCGGCCATATCGCTGTGCGCTGCTGCTGAGCGTGTGCTGACGGCGAGCTTCCGCAGTCCTTTTGGAACGTGCATTTAGCACCATCAGGGTTGCCGGTCTTAGCAGGCTATTAATGTGAGCTCGTTCTGAGCATGCGCTCTAAACATCGCCCTCAAATATGGCGTCCAGTGAATACCTCCTATACTCTGCGACCTCGGCGAAAACAACTTTGTGCATTGCCAAGGCTAGCCTAAAGTCACTGGATCCTGGGAAAGTAGCGCCATTGCCTTCCCTACCTGCTAGCCGGACACAAACGGATACTATCATACAGACGACCCGAACCTAGCAAGGCGATTGGCTAATCGGTCTAAGTTGCCATGGAAATCGCCATCTTGGTCCATTTAAATCTTCGAAGCTTCCAGAGGGTCGTTCTAAACCAGTCGCGCCAAGGTTACCATAGAGCTTCATCGTACTGGAGGCGTTCCTCGCCAATATAAGGGTCTTTGGCACTCTGTATGCAATCAACTTATTATTCATGCCCATCTCCACGGATCTCTTACAATTGTATTGTTCTTCTTGCGTATTTCAACACAGTAAACTTATTTTTCAGTGCCTCCAAGCACCGACACAGCATCTGGTGGTGGTACGAAGGTGTACGCTTGTTTCGCCGGTGTGTGGTCAGCAATATCTCGGTATACAAAAAACCACTCCATAAAGCTACTCGTCACCAGCGAACTTAGATCGTCTCACCAAGAACGGAGGTGTCAAGGAGAAATTGCTCATTTCACGGACCAAGATGGCGACCACACGGGGAGCTTGACGTTACTTTCCCAGGATCCAGTGACTTTAGGCTAGCCTAGCATCCGAAGTGCTTCAACTCTGTCAAAGCAATTTGCGTTGGGTGCATGCGAATAAAACGCAAGACGAAGTCACTCGCTCTCGCCGCAGTGCAGGCCTGCAGCAGTGAGGAAGCTACGCTAGCCTTCACAATGTGGTACAAAATATTTTACGCCGAGTAAAGAAAATATTCCCTGGAGGCCATATCTGTGTGCGCGACTGCTGAGCGCGCGCTGGGAGCCAGCTTCCACAGTTCTTTTGCATTCCGCACCATCAAGATTACCGGTCTAAACAGCCTAGTAATGTGAGCTCGTTCCTAGCCTGCGCTCTAAACATCGCCTTCAAAGATGGCGTCCAGTGACTACCGTCTGCAGTCCACGTTAGGGTGCCTTCATCTGCGCTTTGCTTGGGGCAGACCTTGGGGTGATGACATCTAGCCATTTTGTTTCGAACGTTTATTTTTATTTTTTGTTCTCAAGCGCGTGAAAAAGCGTGTCCCTGCACGCGCTCGTGGCGCTGACTGTGCTACAGCGACATTTTGTTTCCTGCGATTTCTTTGTATTTTCCCTGTGAGCGCGTGCTGTCGGCATCGGACACTCCAAACGATAGCATCACCCTAAACAGAAGGATATTGAGGCACTCTAGTCCACGTTGCCTCACGGAGACATTTTGGTTTCTCTTTTGACCAGGTAAAGTCATGTTCCGAAACTTTCACGCCCTATCACCGCCACTGGCGTCAAATTCACATAGAGTTTCAGCTTTCCGCTGCGCATAGTTCCTTTATGAGGGTCGACAAGTTGCGTTTCATTCTCTCTCTTGGACTGTGAAAAAACCGACTGTGGCTCCGAACGTTTGGCATAGCGCTGCGTTCAGGAAAGCCGATACTGATGAGGAACCGAGGTGGACGGCTACAATCGATGTATTTGCAAAATTATTCTGCTAGGAGCCTCACCGTGGTGCTTTTCCTTTGTGGCACGTTTCCAATCGGAGCGCTTTTTTGCTCCAGAGGACCTGCTCGCCGTGGGCAAAACGAGTAACTAACGTGCGTCCGCACGCCTTTATATAATCACTGAAGTGGACCCAAAAATAAAGTTAATTGTTGCAATATATTCGAGCACGACCGCGTTTCGTTTTAATCGCTCGAGTCACACTTCTAACAAGTAGGCGAGGCGGTAGCTGCGCGGTTTAACAACGGAAAGCGGGATCGCTGCCTCAGAGATGTGCTTTGATAGGAAACCAAACTGTAAAAACGCGTCCAAATTGAGTATTTTGTTCGGAACGCCGTGAAGTGCTGCAGGTGTCGAATATTTTTAGAGCGCAGCTTTTAGGCGCCCGTTTCCGGTTTGAGTGGCGTCACCCTTCGGCGTAACCGCGTGGTGCATTATGAGAAACGTTTTATATTGACGTCACACGTGACGTTACGAGTGACATCACGAGGGACACGAGTGACGTCACGAGGTCCCGCGCGTTGCATTATGAGAAATGTCCCATGATGCAACGCGCGGGTAGGAGAGAGGAGGAGGAGGAGGAGGGAGGAGGTGGAGGATGGGAGGAGAAGGAGGAGGGGAGGAGGAGGACGGAAGAGGGAAAATGAGAAAGAGGGAGGGGAGGGAGGAGAATGAGGGGTGGAGGTGAGGGGGAGGAGCCGAGATGCCAGGTACCCGTCGTGCAGGCAAGTGATATCACCCTCATAAATCACAGAGAGGCACGTATGAAAACGTGGTGTACTCGTTATCCAAGTGGCCATTACATGGGTATACGTGTCTGTGCTGTACCCATCGATCTCTGTTTCACGTCAGACGAAGTTGGTAAATTGCGTGCCA